CAGAGAGCAATTAAGTGAATGAACTCAACGTAGCATGGGAGCCACTTACACACATTGATAATGAATTTGCCGAACGAGTTCATCGTACAAATAACGTAATGATACTCAATGTCCCCGACAAAACCAAATTAGCGATGGTGCAGCACTCGCTCACCAATCTCTGCAACACGACTCCGGACTCCTTGGAACGAAACGTCTACGCAACCAAACAAATGTAAAGCGTGCCCTATACTTATCACTTTTAGAGACCAAGAACTGGGCAAGACTTTAATTGCCAAACGATTCATTATGGGAGAGGCAGCCAAGCTGGGGCCTATCGTAATCAAGCCGGACAAAACACCTGTACATAGAGCATTTGCATCAACCAATAAACTCCAGTCTAAGCCATGGGCGGAAGGTACCCCACCGCCACTAGACTTGCTACCTCACTCCCAGTAGAACTTGATCGGTCGCAACAACATTTGTATCCCAATGTGCCAAAGGCCTACAGCAATGAACTAACTTAGTTCAAAACAGTGAATATGTTAACCCTCCCGTTAGTGCACTATGAAGCTGCTATCTGTCAAGATGAGGCGGATGTAGCTAAACCGAGCGATTCCGACATGTGTGACACTGACACAGTACCTCTAACGGAAGAACGTATTGGCATTACATCCAACGACCCTATGCCAAGCGCCCCACTGACTACTAAGGAACTCTCACGCAAACGCGCAAAACGAAGGCGCATTAAAAAGCCTGCTTCCTGCAATTCCTATGTGCCCAGACATGAACCCAGTGAACGTCTTAACGAAAACAGGTAACCCCACCGTCCGTGCCACCTACCAAGTGCACATCGCAGAATAGACATATTGCACTCTTGAAGAAAATATTTAAAAATTATGTACCACTGTGGGAGAATATGACTACGAACAAACAAGTGCCGCCCCCTAGAAAGCCGTACTTGCTTCCAACTCCAACTGCTCACCATATAAAAGCCAATGTCCTCAGTAACAGATGGAACATGCGCGACTCCCGCCCCGCATCCGGTACCGCTACCACGAGCAACAACACTGCCCCAATTCACCGCACCCAGCCAAACCAGTCTCTCAACCCGAGGCTGTCCAGTATAACACGGTGTGCTGGCGAATCCACACCCTACGCCCTAACGCCACCATTTCCGCGGTGCCACCAAGCTGACGGTAACTATAAGCAATTGCAGGTACCCCGCTACAAACCTGCTGCTTTTGGAACACCGCGAAATAACAAAGCACACCAGCTCAATGGCACCTGCAATGGTCAAGCGCCCGCGACGTACAAGCCGGATGAGTACTGAAATGACAAACACGCCACCACGCATTCCCTCTCCTTTTTATGGAATATGGCGGGCTACGGCTCGCCTCCAACTCACAAGACTGTTGGACGAGGCTGCTCTCTTCCATCTGTACAGGCCCTTAAACATCCCACAGATGTCCTCGAGCAATCGCTACCAACCCCTCCAACACCTAGTGTAGTCGCCGGCTCAGTAAAATCTAATTCCAGAAATGCCATGCATTTTCAGCCCCTATCATCCTAGGTGAACCTGCTCAGACGTTCTTCTGCTAGGCAACTCATCGGCCCGGGCTTAACGGCAAGGAAGGTTGTTGCTTCCTCTGAGACACGTCTTGCCGCACCTACGAGCTTGTCTGCTACGCATTCAACCGACGACCTAACCAGGAGACTCACAATTGCCTGCAAACGTGCAATCAAGCCTCTCCGAGTCTTCGAATGCGATACAGATACCGCAGTAACTAACCCACCTGTGTCAGGATTTTGCCCCTCAGGGCTGCACACCCACCGTAATCCACCGTTATTTTCTACTGCTTACGTACAATCTATCCCTACCACTACCTTAGCCATCTCTAATAATCTTTCCCACATCCACAAACCCGTGTCCTCCGCGTCGTTTAAGCATGGTAACCAAGCAGAATCACTCCTACAACCAGACCTGCTCTACGATAACGCAGATCGTAAGAGTTTGTCTGACCTCTGTAACATAAGACTTAGCAAACCCTCTGAGACAACAACAATTCTACCCACGCAAGCCAAGCAGATTACTTTTGTCTCTGATAATGTACCAAATGCTCACTCCTGCAACGAGGCGCTCACGCTACTTCTCATTAACGCAAGGTCCATCAGACCTAAGATGCACCTTACCAACCCCGGCATTAGCCTATCCGGCCCCTAGGTAGTGCTCATCACAGAAACGTGGCACGATGCTAACACTCCCTATGCACAGCTGCGAATCCTGAGCTACATCTCTTTCAGCAATGGACGTACCAAACACCGAGATGGTGGATGCCTCATCTACGTGCGTGACGATTTCGGGGCGCCATCATTACAAGAACGTCCAATCGGCCCTCTGGAAAACTCGGTTTGGATTCAGACTAGTAGGGGACCGCAGCATCCCTTAATTGGCTGTCTATATAACCCTCCACACACTAAAACGATCGGTATACGCAGCCTATTGAAAGTCTTCACAGAAGTATCCCTGTTGCCTACTCACTATAAGATAATCGGTGGTAACTTCAACGTGCCACAAGTGGCTTGGCGAAAGCAATCTGCGCCACCCAAATACCGTGTCTTTGTGGACACCACATTTGCCTTTGAGTGGACTCAAGAGGTGCATGCACCCACTAGGCACAGCAACACCTTAGTTTTACTTTGTACAAACGGAGTTGCGCATGCAACTGCTAGAGTGCTTTACAATCTCCCTGGCTGCGATCACAAAATAGTAAAGCACGCTTTCCAACTACCCATTACTCCTCCCCCAGTGACTGGACCAGCGTGTTCTGTTCGGACCTTCAAACGCATCAACTGGACAAACTTTGCTCTACTTCTGAGATCCATCAGCTGGGGTGTATTCTTCCTCTTCTATACTATATAAAAATCTCACGTACTGTTTGCATACAATTGCAAGTATATGGAAACAAATAGCCACACAGCCACCACTGGATGTAGCTTCCCTCGCAAACCACTCGTCAAGCTCAAAGAGCTACGTTCAAAGTGCAGCAGGACCCAAGCATTCCTCCGCCTTATTCGCATTAATGTAGTCCTGTTGGAGTGGAGCAATTCACTAACTGCCGCATATCTGTCCGAAAAACACACTGCCTTAAACTCTATCAACCGTATTAAAGCTCTCAATTATCTTATGAAGCGCAGAAGCAACCCCGCCTGGAATTCGATTAACTCGATTATTCGTCCAGACAACTTAGGTACCAGTAACCAAGCTGAAATATGTGAGGTCATGAACCGCTACTTCTGCGAATGTTCATCTCTGCTAACCTGACCCTGCCTCTTAATATTCCCAGTTGCACTAATGATACTTTACGCGCAGTACCATTTGAGCTGCGTACCATTACTCGGGAAATTCAAGCCCTCACATTATCCCTCAACACCGGACCTGATGGTCTCCCATCGGCTTTGCTAACCCTAGGTGGTCTGGATATCACCGTCTTCCTTCTTAACAGCTTCACGCTTTCCATGGAACGTGGAACCTTTTCCGCTGCTTGGAAACATGCAGTCGTCATGCCAAGAAACAAAAAGGGAGGCCCCAACACATTGAAACCTACCGAGCCATTAGTCACACTCCATTCGCTTTACGAGTTGTGGAGTGGATCGTCAAGGAAGAGCCCCTATGATTTTTGTTTCATCATAATCTCATCAACTAATCCCAACATGGATTTATCCCGTCTAAATACTGTCAAACATGTCAGCTGGAGGACCTGAACCATGTGACCGCCATGGTTGATTGCAGCAAAGCGCTGATCCTTATGTTCTTGGATATGATTAATGCGTTCGACCGAGCTCCTCATACTGCACTGCTAACTCCATGGGTCATGTCACTTCCTGACGGAATGATACGGCCAGTACCGTAGGTAAACTATAAACCAAACACGTTAGAAGGTTTTGTATTTGTCGTCTGTAGCACCGCGTAATGTCTCTGAGGGGTATCCAGTAATACGAGGTTGAAGCAGATGCGATAATTGAAATGCGTTTCAGTATTGTAAATGGCCGAACCCATTGGTCCTTTCCAGAGTAAAAGATAATATTGTGTTGAGATGTTTCCAAGTTAGGCGCGTAGCACAGGCAGGAAAATATACCTTCCGGTCAGGTGAAATGTCCGCGTTGACATTAAATGTCAGCAAGTGAACTCCGAGTAAGAATTATGTGAAGAAGAGGCAAACTGAACCCAGTTGTTCAGGCCTCAATGTATTGGCATCCATCAAAGATAACAAATAAGTGTTTTGTCCATCCGGTGGGTAATACGACAGCGCAATAATTATCTATCCATTTCCAAATAAGGGAATATTATGCTTCCTTGAAGTGTTGAGTTCAAAGTAGTGGACGTACCTTCGGTTTCTGGTCACCGGTTCTGTGAAAACTTCTCTCTGTTTAGCTGCAGCTATCCTTCGTAGGCTTCACGCATCGCTCCACATATCAAAGCCTGGTGGAGCACATCTTTTATCTCTGGACCCTTTATTCTCTAGTAGATTCCGTGTCCTATGCATTTGCTGACTAAAGCTGGGAAATTGTAGGTATCCAGTAGTAACTAGAAAGCTTCATCCAAATGCCATTCCCAGCCATCGATTCAGTTCCCCCTAGTGCCATTACCAATTCTTCCTCTTACATGTCACCACTTTGCAGGTGCAGCGAGCCATTGTAGGTAGCATGCATCACTGCACCGGGAGCCGCTCCTTAGCTCTTCAACGTTCATTCTCGTGAATCGTTTGCATCACATACCTTCGCTGGTTTGCTGAGTTGTTCTGTCACTGTAGGCATCCACTAATAAGTAGAAGGCTTACTCTGAATGCATTTGCTTGCAAATTATACTCTCTCTCATAGCGCCACTATTTGTCACTCTTCCTTTTCTAAACGTGCGGTCCTCCGGCAGAAAGAACAACAGGTGGCGGCGACACGAAAATCTTTATTGGCGAGAATTGCTTTCTTTTTATATCAGATATGACCATTTTCTGCGCCCGTTTCTATTCGGCTACTACACTTTCATGCATTTGTCTCCATTGGCCAGCGTCCTTTGATCCTGGGCGTTTCGCCTCCCATCGTTCGGTCGTAAATCGTCCATGGCATTTGCTACAATTGGTTCCCCATGCTGTGTCTTGACGATCAAAAACCAATCGGCCGATGGGTTTCGGTCCAGTGCCTGCTCTTTCTGGCCAATGGACGGTCGTTCGCGTACCGGATTGACGTGACGCTGATTGGTCAGGCGTCTGATGCAATTCCTCGATCCCCTTAACGTCGCTTACTCGTTTGCGAGCCGTCTCGGGTTTTGATTGGATATTCGGACCACGCTTGTTTGCCAGACGCTTTGCCGAGCCGTTGGTCTGTTCGTCCGATCGGTAGCTTGTGTGCGCCACTGGTTGGCGGTGCCGCGAACTGATTGCGATCTCCGACTGTGTTGCCGATTGGTGGAAACCAGTTCGCGCTGTTGGCTGGCGGTTTGGCACGTGAGCTACCATCACATCCTTCCTTTTTTCGTTTTTTTGTAGTCCGATTACGTCAGCGCTGTATCGTCTTCCACTGCGTGTAGTCTTGTGGTCGTGTGCTGCCGTATCCACCGAAATGTCCGGCTGCGTTGGCTGCTTCGCACGATGCCGTGCTTGTTCACCACGTTGTCTCCTTAACTGCACCCGGTTGCGTCGAAATAGACTATCCCCAACTCTTACGTCGTAGCTTCGTTCGCCTTTGAGACCTTCTACTCGCCCTCTCCTCCAAGACCCGTTAGCTCCCGGTGTCGGCGCGACCCAGACCTCGTCTCCGGGCAACAGGCGTGGAAGCTGCTTCGTTCCGCGATCGTAATATTTCTTTTGTCGAAGCATGCGCTCACGCAAGCGCTCATACATCAAGCTCTGCGATGGTATTTCAGGCTGCAGCAGAGTATTGGCGATCGGCAACAGGGTTCTTGTCCTCCGGCCAAACAGACGTTGCGCTGGACTGCATCCAATTTCGGCAGATGGCATGTTCCTTCGTTCTAACAACATGATGTAAGGATCTTCTTTGGTCTCCTTGGCTTTGGTGAGTAACTTCTTTGCTTCCTTCACGGCTGACTCAGCTTTTCCATTTGACTGACTGTGGTAAGGGCTGGTTAAACGATGAAGGAAATCCCACTTTTCGCTGAAACTCCGAAATTCGGCGCTGTTGAATTGGGGGCCATTGTCGGACACTACCTCTTCCGGTATCCCATGTCGCGCAAACTGCGATCGTAGCTTGTTTATCACGGCCTGTGTGCTAGTAGACGTGAGAGCATCAATCTCGAAATAGTCGCTAAAGTAATCGACAGCGATCAGGTAATTCTTTCCGTCATGTGCAAAGATGTCTAGGGCGACTTTCTGCCACGGCCTTTCCGGGACCTCACGAAGCATCATAGGCTCCTTCGGCTGGCGGACATCATGTGCTTGACAGGCTAAGCAGTTTGAAACATGATCTCGTATCTGACTAGTCATTCCAGGCCAAAACATTAGCTCTCGAGCTCTCGCCACGCAAGCATTGACTCCTGAATGACTTCCGTGTATCAGCTCCAGCATGGGTCGTTGCATTGCCTTTGGAACGAGTATACGGTTGCCTTTGAAGATTAACCCATCCTGTGTGACAAGTTCATCCCGAAAGTTAAAGAAGGGAGTCAACTCCTTTGGCAGCTTGTTTTTACTATCGGGCCACCCTTTCAGTATCGTTTCCTTGAGCCGATTACACAGCTCGTCTGCTTCCGTGTGGCGTAGTAGTTGCTGGAAACGCTCCTCTGTGACGGCCAATAGCTGAGTGACATGGACAATGTCTTGGTCTTCTTGCGTTGCGGTCACATCGGAAAGATATGCCCTAGACAGTGTGTCTGCAATGTACATCCTTGACCCCGGTTGGTAGACGATGTCTAGGTCGTACTTCTGGAGCCGAATGAGCATTCGTTGTAAGCGGCGTGGGACGACGTGCAGTGGTTTATTGGCTATTGATACCAGAGGCTTGTGATCGGTAAATACAGTGGTCCGGCGACCAAAAGTGTAATCGTTGAAACGCTCTACGGCATAAACCAATGCTAGCATCTCCTTTTCAATCTGTGCATAACGGCGCTCGGATTCCGTTAGTGTCCGACTGCGAAAATCGATGGGCTTCCCGTTCTGCATTAGCACGGCACCGATACCGAATTGGCTGCTGTCACACTGGATCTCAAGGGGAAGTGACGGATCGTAATACGCTAGGACAGGGGCGCACGCGATCAGTTGTTTGATGTTCTGGAAAGCCTCCTCCTGTTCTGTGTTCCACTGCCAGCTCTCGCCCTTATGTGTAAGTTTTCGGATAGGAACCATTACTTCGGCTAGTCGTGGAAGGAAGCGGCTGAGGTAATTCACCATCCCGTTTAGTCTGCTCACGGCTTTAACATCTGTCGGAGGTGGCATCTCTTTTATGGCTCTAACTTTCTCCGGATCTGGCTTTAGACCTTCTGCGCTCAAAACATGTCCGTGGAACACCAGCTCTGTTTTTCGTAACTCAATTTTCTCACGTTTCAATCTGATATTCTTGTCTTTACAGCGTTCTAGAAATCTGCTCAGGTTACGGTCGTGCTCTTCCAGAGTCGCCCCAAAAACCACTACATCGTCTGCTACACAAATAGCTCCGGGTAGATCGTCTAGGGCCTGCATTAATCGTTTCTGAAAAATTTCACTGGACACTTTCAAACCGAATGGTAAGCGCAACCACCGAAACCGTCCAAATGGCGTTCCGAACGTGGTTAAATAACTGGACTCTTCGTCAAGCTGGACGTGCCAGAAAGCGGAAGCGAGGTCGACCTTCGTGAACAATCTGGCCTTGGACAACTCGGGTAAGACGTCATCTAGCGTTGGTAGTGTAAAATACTCTCTCCTGAGTGCGGCGTTGAGCGGCTTAGGGTCGATGCACACACGCAAATCGCCTGACTTCTTGGTGATTATCGCAACTTGACTGACCCAATCGGTTGGCTCATCGACCTTGGCAATCACACCTAAACTGATCAAACGCTGCAACTCGTCTAAGAACTTCTCACGCAAAGCGATAGGTACTTTTCTCGCTGGTAGTGCTACTGGTCTAGCGGACTCGTTTAACGACAGGTGAGCTACGCCTTGGAATTTTCCCACGGTACCATCAAACACACTGGGATAGTTGTCTACGATCTCTGTACCGACTTCGCACGAGTGAACAAAACGATCATGATTAAAAGAAACAAAACCCAAACTCTGAATGGAATCAAGGCCCAGGATGGGCATAAAATCTCCTGATACCAGGAGAAAATCAAGTAAATGCTCGGAGCCATCCTTCGGGTTTATGGCCTTCATGGTAACACAGCCCTTCGGTTGTAACTTTGATCCGTTCCACATTCTGAGCTGTGTCTGTATTTGGCGGTATTCTGCATCGGGACAGTATTTGTGAGGAAGTATGTTCACGCTTGCTCCTGAATCCAATTGGAATCGCACCGGACGCCCTTGAATAAGCAACGTTGCGAATACACAGACTGGTCTCTCACGTCCTGTCATGTTGTTAATAGCCAGTTCCTGCGGCTCTTCCTGATCGTCCTGCCCGACTGAGTCGACTTTGGTTGCCTGACAACAACGTGCAAAGTGGTTCTTCTTCGCACACTTCATACAGGTTCGGCCCCATGCTGGACAATCCTCTTTGCGCCTTGGGTGTGAGCGGCCGCAAAACTGGCATTTGGGTTGATTCGCGCTCGATGACTTCGATACAATTTCTCGGCCTCGGGATACTGCAAACAGATCCGTCGTGGACTCCATCTTGAGCTGCTGAAACTGTTGAGCCGTCCTTGATTCGCTAAAACAGATATCGATGCAATGTTCCAGAGACAGGTTTCGCTGTCGCAAAAGGCGTCTGGAAAGTTCCTCATTCTTTATGCCAATTATAATTCGATCGCGGATCAGCGAATCTCGTAAACAGGTGCAAAAATTGCAATCCCGCGCCAGAATTTTCAGCTCCGTGATGTATGCGTCGATTGATTCACCCGGCAGGCGATTTCGGCTGAAAAACAGATACCTTTGGTAAGTTTCGTTTGTGTAACCGTCGCAAAACTCGCCGAATCTGCGTATTACTTCATCCAGCTCCATCTCCTGAGTTCCATCGCTGAGATCCAACGTTTGCAGCGTCCGCCTGGCTTCGTCTCCAATGGCATGCCTGAACATCGCCAGTTGATAGGCCATTGGCTGAGAATCCAACTGAGTCAGTGTTACAAAGTCTAGCCACTTCGCCTTCCATATTCTCCAATTCTCCGGCAACGAACTCTCGGTCATTTGCAACGGAGCTGGCAGCGGAATCGTTGGTTGTCCACCAAACGCATGCGGGGTTCGGCGTGTCTTCTTGTCCTCTGTCGCCATGTAAAACGTGCGGTCCTCCGGCAGAAAGAACAACAGGTGGCGGCGACACGAAAATCTTTATTGGCGAGAATTGCTTTCTTTTTATATCAGATATGACCATTTTCTGCGCCCGTTTCTATTCGGCTACTACACTTTCATGCATTTGTCTCCATTGGCCAGTGTCCTTTGATCCTGGGCGTTTCGCCTCCCATCGTTCGGTCGTAATTCGTCCATGGCATTTGCTACAATTGGTTCCCCATGCTGTGTCTTGACGATCAAAAACCAATCGGCCGATGGGTTTCGGTCCAGTGCCTGCTCTTTCTGGCCAATGGACGGTCGTTCGCGTACCGGATTGACGTGACGCTGATTGGTCAGGCGTCTGATGCAATTCCTCGATCCCCTTAACGTCGCTTACTCGTTTGCGAGCCGTCTCGGGTTTTGATTGGATATTCGGACCACGCTTGTTTGCCAGACGCTTTGCCGAGCCGTTGGTCTGTTCGTCCGATCGGTAGCTTGTGTGCGCCACTGGTTGGCGGTGCCGCGAACTGATTGCGATCTCCGACTGTGTTGCCGATTGGTGGAAACCAGTTCGCGCTGTTGGCTGGCGGTTTGGCACGTGAGCTACCATCACAATTGTAGGTATCCAGTAGTAACTAGAAAGCTTCATCCAAATGCCATTTCCAGCCATCTATTCAGTTCCCCCTAGTGCCATTACCAATTCTTCCTCTTGCATGTCACCACTGTTCAGGTGCAGCGAGCCATTGTAGGTAGCATGCATCACTGCACCGGGAGCCGCTCCTTAGCTCTTCAACGTTCATTCTCGTGAATCGTTTGCATCACATACCTTCGCTGGTTTGCTGAGTTGTTCTGTCACTGTAGGCATCCACTTAAAAGTAGAAGGCTTACTCTGAATGCATTTGCTTGCAAATGATACTCTCTCTCACAGCGCCACTATATGTCGCTCTTCCTTTTCTTCTTCGGCTCTTTGCAGCGATTCTTCACTAGCAGTCACTTAGAAGAAGATCAACTCTGATGACCTTGACTATTTGGAGGGTAAAAAAATTTCATCACAGTAGCGGCAAAACTTCGTCGGTGTAATGTATGCTTTTTTTCCCTCCACAGATCCTCTGAGTAATTCATACTATGAGCTGAACCGCGTCGGCGCATTCTAATAATCGCCTACCACGTCATCGGATTTTTTAGTGCTTTTTCGCAGCTCAATTTTGTGCACTGCTGTAGCAGAACCTTCTCCACTGGCCCCTACTGCACTTCATCTCCACCAAAGTGGTAATTCAGCCGATTGCAGGGAAATTGTATTACCCAGACTTCATATTTAGGAAGTACAGCGTTTAATGATGTGTACGAGCATTGCAGTGTACTCTTTAAGCTAAGGGGATTGCAACATCATGATGTCTTCTTTCTGTGCTCGGCGCAAGCTAGCCGTCATTCTTTTAGCGCTGGGAGTGTCTATTTACCTTTTTGCTAGCAGAGTTCGGCGTGCGACTCCGATGTCTGAACTGAGCGTCAGCAGTTACGTGCTTGTGCAACCTCATCTTGTGATGAATTCCCCATTTCCAAACCTGGCGACCTTGTACTCTAAGGCGTCAAGCAATATATTACAGCACAACTTTATACCGAGCTTCTTTGTGACCTCCCCAGTTCTCGGATTGCTATTATCAGATGACTCTTACTACGCAAGAATTATGTCCCTGGTTTCCCATGAACCTACGCGAACCGCACCTACAGCTCCTGTCTTTAAATGCGTCTGCGGACGAATAAGTGATGACTGCGTTTGTTGTGGGATCTTGTCTTCGTGCCCATCTCCTTTGTTTGCTACACTTCCTAGTAGCGTTTGTGCTCCCCTAATTCTCTTTCATCCTGGTGACAACATTGCGGCCACCTTATGCTTAAATGTTACTTACCTTCCTTTGAGGCAGCGGGTTCGGAGTGCAGGTTTTCTTTTACCAACTTCCACCCCTGCTTCGTCGCCATCTTTTTCACTTATCAAATACATGAATCAAAGCTTGGTCCTCTTTGACAAACATTACTCCCCACTTTTTTCCGCCACTGACTTCTGTGTGGAGAATTCAAAAACTAATCCGGAGGCTGCCATATGCATCCATTTCTTAGATATGAAATATTCATATGACTCTGTCTCCGATCATACAACCACTTTTACCGGTTGTGCAGAAATTTCCATCGTACTTAAAAAGCAATTTATTGTATCAAAATACCCCCGCTTCTGCTTCCGTGCTTACCGGGGTGCGATCGGTGATGTTGATCGGGCAGAACAGGCTGTGGCTTCAAACGATCATCAAATTAACATATCTTCAACAAAGGCGGAATCGGTCATCAATGATGAACCACAGAATTCTTCATATTCCTCCTTCAAAACAAGCAACCTCATGGCGTCTACTTCTGATCCTCGGAGGCCGGTAGTATTTAATATTCATGATGCCCAAGCTGTAATACCTTAGCGCTGCATCTCTCCCTTATAACTTGAAGTAATTTAGTTGTGCGATACTATTCCGTGTTTGCATTTACCAGACTTCGGAACTCGGACCATTGTGCGCACTATTCACCTGTTAACTTTGCCGGCTTCGTCTTGCATGTTGCTGGTCCAATCAACTCCCCGATTTCTCCAGCATTCCTCCATCCTTTCGATTATCGTTCGACCTTTCTTTTGCATACAGCTGTATTCGTGATCCCTATCTCTCGTTTATCCAAAATCATTTCGGATCTCATTACCCACAACTGGATAAGACTCGGCTTTGTTTTATTTTGTTTCCTTTCGAACGATTGCTTAATTTTCCTCGGAGTTCGCCTAGCCATATATGCCGAATTTGGTTGCCATTTTTGCGTGTTGACTCATTCTTGCCTCACGTCACCTATTTTTGTTTGAATCTGGTTGAATGTCTACGTTGGCTATACTTTCGTCACTTTTATTTACTCCCTTGCGTGTATGGAAGACTTTCATTGAATCCTATTGGTGTACAGCACGGCGTTCGTGTGCTATATATCGGATCGACAATGAAACAGCCAACCAAAAACGAGTGTGACAACATACGAAAACAACCTAGAAAAAGGTTTATTGTGAGACCGTTGAAGTAACTAATGCACCAAAGGAGACTTGGCAAGGGAAGATCTTCATCATCATCAACAGTAGTACATCAGCCATTTGAACTGATGCTTCGCTGCCATACAACCATGAGGACTTATGAAATAAAGAATAAGAAGAGAGAGAGAAGGGGGACTTACCTGAAAACCTTAATGTCCTAAGCAAACATTCAGGGTCAAGGCGTCTACACCTTGTGTAGACAACATACCGTCACAAAGAGCTGGCTATCGTGCAAAAATAAGGCGGCATCGGCGAGACAGCTTCCTTGTGGCTTTCACATGACATTCTCTTCAAACATAAACTTCATCCTGCATCGGCCGTCGCGCAGATTATCAAGGGTCGCCTTATCTGCTGCATACAGAAGGGCGGATAAGCGAAAGCATGCAACTGCTAGTGCCCCCCTGCTTTCTTTTCCACCTTTTTCTCTTACTCCCATCCCGGCCCCCATTACTAACCTTCCTTCTATAATTCCCAGCTTAATTGACAGCAACCGAAGTGCTACTGGAGTAGAACCATCTACAGCCACCATCCCACAGCACCTATCGGACGCCTATCGGCAAAAGTCCCTTATAAGGCCACGCTATCCCGTTTCCATGTCGACATTCAACGTTCGCAGGTCAACAGGCTGCACTCGCACGCACCTTGGACACACTGGGTATTGATGTGTGTTCGAAACTAGGATCAATGACCCTAATGGGGTTGTTGAATTAATTGCACCCGGCTTATCCTCTCGTTATTGGTTGCATGCATCCGGAGACGTCGATGCAGCACTCACGGGTCAAGCTGGTGTATGTATCATTCTAAGCTTCAAGGCTGAGCCATCGTTGATTGATTGGATTCCGGTGAACAGCCGTTTATGTGCAGCCCGTTGGACGACATCAGCTAAGGTTGACTCACGAAGTAGGAAAAAACGCTGTTTGTTCGTGATTTCCGCTTATGCCCCCACTGACTGCAGTTCTAATGCAGTCAAGGACACTTTGTATCACGAACTGAACGTGCTACTACGCAGTGCTACTAGTTCAGATATTCTAGTACTTGCAGAGGATATGAACACAAACCTATGGCGTCTGAGCTCTTCAGAAGCTCCGCTGGGTAGTAAGTATGGACTTAACGCCGAACGGACTGACAGCGGCGAGCGTCTGCTGCAACTGTGTGCGGAGCATTAGTTGTTTCTTACTAGCACTGCTTTTAGACACAGTGGACGCCGAAGTGCCACTTGGCGTCCACCTGTAGCTGGTCATCGATGGACCCAAATTGACCACATAGCCATAAGTTACAGGTGGCGCGGTTCCATTCTGGATTGCCGCTCGTACTGGAGTACCTGTGTCGACTCTGATCATGCCTTGGTGCGGTGTCGTTTCTCCATGAACTTTACCGGAAGGCGCACAAAGCGTCTCCCCCGATTGGCAACGGAGAAATTGTCTCAGTCCTCTGTCAGACAAGCCTATCAAGAAGCACTGCATAACGAACACTCGCTGTCTTGTCCTAATGATACTGAACTTCAGTGGAATAGGATCTCGGCTGCCATGCACGAGGCAGGAGCATCTGCTTGTGGCACTATCAGTCGTCATCGCACCAGTCACTGGATATCCGAGAGGTCCGTGAACATTTTGGAAGCTAGAAGGCACCTCCCGGCTGGTTCTGAACACAATGTGACCAGACGGGCTATTAGGCGTGAACTAAAGCGGAGCCTACGTGCTGACAAGGAAGCCTGGTGGACCAGTCGGGCTCAGGAAATGGAGGAAGCAGGAGCAGTAGGCAATTACCGGAAGCTCTTCCAGCTAATCCGCACCACTGGTCTGAGGAAACCAGGCGTCAGTGAGACAATCAGGGACAGCGCGGGTGCGCTGATACACAATAAGGAGCGCCGTATGGCTCGTTGGGCTGAGCACTTTGAACATCAGTTCAGCTGGCCCCCTGCTCCCGGACCTCTTCCTACTCAGGTGATGCAGGACGAGCCATGGACGGTTAGTTTAGAGCCTCCGTCGGAGGCCGAGGTCCGAAACGCGATCACAGCCCTCAATCGTTTTCGTGCCGCTAGCCCGGATTCCCTACCACCTGCACTATTTAAGGATGGGGGTGAGGTCCTCTGCAAAGCACTGACCTCCCTATTCGAACGCATCTGGAACGAAGAGAGTGTGCCGGCTAATTGGAGCGAATCGATTATAGTGGCAATATACAAGAAGGGGCAGTCGCACATGCTGTGCGAACCACAGGGGTATTAGCCTAACGCCAGTTGTGACAAAATTACTGGCCTCGATTATCGTTCGTCGCCTCAATGCAGAACGGGAATCTCGGATTAGGGAAGAGCAGGCCGGTTTTCGCCCAGGACGTGGCTGTATAGACCATATATTTACTTTGCGACAGGTGCTAGAGCAGCGCCACGCATACCGCAGACCGACAATAGCTGTGTTCCTCGATTTCAAGAGTGCGTTCGATTCAGTCGATCGATCGATTCTGTTCAAAATACTTGCGCGGAAAGGTGTTCCCACGAAATATGTGAACATCCTTCGTGCTCTATACTCGAACAATAGAGGCCGCGTCAGGGTCTATGGTGCCCTATCGGATAGCTTTTCGACTACAAGTGGCGTTCGACAGGGTTGCCCGATTTCCCCGTTTTCGTTCAATTTCGTCGTGGATGCTATCATGGAGTGTTCCCTTGCGGAATCTCACGATGTAGGTGTTGAAGTGCTGCCTGGTGAACGGTTAGTTGATCTAGATTATGCGGACGATATCGTCTTGCTTTTCGACAATGTTGAGGCGGTACAATCAACCCTGAATAGCCTGTCCAGAGTGGTCCCATTATTTGGTATGCACTTCGCACCTTCAAAGTGCAAAGTGTTGCTGCAGGACCACCAGCCACGTGATGACCCCTTGACGCTTGCTAACGAGGAACTCGAGGTGGTTGATCAATTCACTTATCTTGGCAGCTGCATCAGCAATGATGGGCGCATAGAAACTGACGTGAGCTCAAGCATTGCAAAGGCCAGAGCTGCCTTCTTGAACCTGCGTCATCTTTGGCGACAGAAGGGAGTTTCCCTCCGTCTGAAAGGCCGTGTATCCAAGGCCACAGTGAGGGCCATTCTGCTCTATGGTAGTGAAACTTGGCCCCTTCGGTCTGAAGATCTGAGGCGCCTTCAAGTCTTTGATCATCGTTGTTTGCGAAGCATTGCTGGTGTCGGATGGCACCAGCGTGTCCGCAACAATGATGTGCGTAGGCGAGTACTAGGTGGTGATGATCATGCTAGCTCCCTAGAACAACAGATAGCACTGAATAAGTTGCGTTGGCTCGGGCACGTGCTACGTATGCCTGGTCACCGCTTACCTAGGAGGGCCTTGTTCAGTCTACCAGGTGTCGTATGGCGCAAGGCTCGAGGTGGACAGAAGTTGACTTGGCAGCGGGAAATGAAGTCACTGACGACCAAACTGGGTGCCGTTGGTCCGTCTCGCCTTCCGGGTTGGAGTCCACGTGACTCACCTTGTGCTTGGCTCGAGACTTTACAGGACATGGCTCGCAACCGACACCAGTGGCACGTCTGCTTCCGTCTCCTAATATGCTTGCCTGTTTAAAGTGTGTTTGATGCTGAATTATCTGCGGGGTAATGGCTGATTATGACGCGTGGCAGTGAAAGCCGCAAGGAAACTGTCTCGCCGATGTCGCCTTATCTTTGCACGATAGCCAGCTGTTTGTGACGGTATGTTGTCTACACAAGGTGTAGGCGCCTTGACCCTGAATGTTTGCTTAGGGCATTAAGGTTTTCAGGTAAGTCCCCCTTCTCTTCCTCTTCTTATTCTTTATTTCATAGGTCCTCATGGTTGTATGGCAGCGAAGCATCAGTTCAAATGGCTGATGTACTGCTGTTGATGATGATGATGATGTGGCTTTCACTGCGCCGCGTCATAATCAGCCAGTACCCCGCAGATAACTCAGCACCAAACACACTTTAAACAGGCAAGCATATTAGGAGACGGAAGCAGACGTGCCACTGGTGTCGGTTGCGAGCCATGACCTGTAAAGTTTCGAGCCAAGCAAAAGGCGAGTCACGTGGATTCCAACCTGGAAGGCGAGACGGACCAACGGCACCCAGTTTGGTCGACAGTGACTTCATTTCCCGCTGCCAAGACAACTTCTGTCCACCTCGAGCCTTGCGCCACCCTACACCTAGTAAGCTAAACGAGGCCCCCCTAGGTAAGCGGTGATCAGGCATACGTAGCAGGTGCCCAAGCCAACGCAACTTATTCAATGCTATCTGTTATTCTAGGGAGCCAGCATGATTAACACCACCTAGTACTCGCCTACGCACATCATCGTTGTGGACACGCTGGTGTTACCCGACACCAGGTAACGAGGATTAGAGACTTAAAGGCGCCTCGCATCTTCAGATCGAAGACGCCAAGTCTCACTGCCATAGAGCAGAACGGACCTCACTGTGGCCTTGGATACACGGCGTTTCAGACGGAGGGAAACTCCCTTCTGTCACCATAGATGACGCAGGTTCAAGAAGGCAGTTCTGGCCTTTGCAACGCATGAGCTGACCTTAGTTTCCTATGCGCCCATCGTTGCTGATGCAGCTGCCAGTATAGGTGAATTATCAACCACCTCGTGTTCCTCGTTAGCAAGCGTCAAGGGGTCATCAAGTGGCTGGTGGTCCTGCAGCAGCACTTTGCACATTAAAGGTGCGAAGTGCATACCAAATAATGGGACCACTCTAGACAGGCTATTTAGAGTTGATTGTGCTGCCCCGACATCGTCAAAAAGCAAGACGATATCGTCCGCATAAACAAGATCAACTAACCTTTCACCAGGCAGCACTTCAACGCCTACATCGTGAGATTCCGCAAGGGAACACTGCATGATAGAATCCACGACGACATTGAACAGAA